ATATATATATATATATATTAACATTACGCAAAATCAACTCCAGTGTCTAACAAATCGCGTAACATAAAAGATGCCTTTTTTGGAAGAATCCTAAAAATATAAGAAACTTACATTAGATCATTCGTCTTGTGTATACGAATAAAGAACGTATATAAGTAGCGAATTTACCTAAGTACATGTCCAAGATAAAGCAAATATCCTGGTACACTAAACTCCGCGTAGTTTCGGCGAACACCATCTAAAATTTGTCTAGCAGCTTCTACGGCAGGCATTGTACCAAAATAACTCGGAATTCTGCAAAATGCATTTTTTTATAAATTAGAATAATTCAAAATCGCATAGATGATAATAAAAACTAACATATAAGAAAAAAATTAAATGTATAGTTCACAAATATTGAACACCTAAAACGTATGTCTTTTGCAACTTCCATTCCAACGATAAAAGGATAAACATGAACCAATGAAACAATGATGTTGCTATTTGAATGTCTTAATTCCATATGCAAGGATTCTGCTAATCCTTGGACAGCAAATTGTGCAGTAGATAAGGGAACCCGGGTTCCTCGACCACTAGATCCATTGGAAAGACCAGCGACGGATGAAAGAATCGTAATGTGGCCTTTACCAGCTTGTCGCATACATGGCAAAACTGAATCCAACAACTATGAAAGAAGATTGATTATACTAAGATTTTTATATCAAGATATTAAACTATTACTCACCCAAAAATGACTGATGATTGATAAGTCCATAGTGTCTCTTACTTCTGACGATTCTTGTATTAATGCACGTGGGCTGGGCAAACCACAACAATGGAAAAGCATTGTAATGTTTCCTAATTCGATCTTAATAAGATTCACAATTTGAACAACCTAATATCGACATATTAATAACATATCAGAGACCAAATGATTTATATTTATTAAGAGAAATGCTTAAACATACTGCATCTTTATTTCTCACGTCGCACTGATAGCTTTTACATATTCCATGTAACTGTTGAGCACGTTGCACAGTAGCAGTGCAAGTTTCTGTATTAATGTCTACACAAGCAACCACGACACCAAATTGACACAGCTGTAGAGCAAGTTCTTTGCCTATTCCACGTCCTGCACCTACGACCTAAATTATGTCCTTCCTTTGTAATATGAAAAGATTTGCATTGACAAGAAGTAGATTGTAACAATGTTACCATAGCCACTTCATAGTTGATATTTTTCAATGGTGGTGGTCTAAACATTCTGTAGACTGCGATCAGGATTGTGTAGCACACTCCGATAATGAGTGTCATGAGATCCAATCCTAAGATGCACAACGAATATATCCGCAACAGCATCTCTGGTGGCTGAATATTTCCTAATTTGACCTGCAACAAAGCACAACAGAGATTGCATAACACATGGAATGTCTCATCATGTCGTATAATTATTTGATGATAAATCTTGACTCAGCAATTCAGCTAATGTAATTTTTATGTCGATAGTACAAATTATTCAAGATCACTGTCGTATGTACGTACCATTCTGAAATTATTTAGAAATCGTGAACACGTGTAAATTTAAACAGGCCTAAAGAACCCGCAATAACATACCTTATTTCAATTTTTAAACGATATGTATATTTGTCGATAACACGTGTCGCGTCACCGCCGCCGGCCGGCCAAGACGCAATCTCTCGCATCAGCGTTATCTGAATGCTCTAAATAAAAGTATTTGGAGGGAATGTGAAAAAAGTTACACGATTGAAATGACTAAAATTAATCACTGGATTCGATACATAGCCGATTAGACCTTTTCATATCCATCATAATTATTGTCTAATCAGCCAATCCAAGCTGAACGCCTCAACTAATCTGAACTTCTGAGTTCTTCGCCCGATTGCTACGGACCTCTGAGGAAGCTTCGGCTAAACTTGTTTAATTATTTTACAATTATCATGCGGATTATCATTGCTGCTTCATGTGTCCGATCTCTGGATCGAGCAGCCTGGCTCCTGTTTAGATTTCCATCTGGGTATTTTCCGGGTGTCATGTCACCCTTGTTTAACGTTCGGTAAATGACAAGGTCAGGTAAAGTAATACTTGAGTGGCACTCGGGTGGGAATCTGAACGTAATCCTGCAGAAAATCTTTGTCAGTATATCGACGCATGCGTAGATTGTAGGTTACGTTACATCTGATTTCGTAAGAGTTTTTAGGATCCATCATTTACTATTATTTTGTGAAAATTCAACAAACATGTGGTATGAAATAATTCCATCAATGGTGATAATAGGCATGATACCCATATTACCTCAATGGGTAACTTATTATCTAAATCAATTCACTCTGGGAAATGTAAGTATGCAAATGTTATGTATGACATAACCTCTCTGTAAATTTGTAACAATTTGTTAATACTCAACAAATTAAACATTTTATTTCTAAGAAATTCCTCTTTCATAGCAATTGGAACAATCCTTAAAAAATAATTTATCCTTGAGGTATAAATTTATGAGAAAAACAAGATATAAATAGGTAAGTAATAGTTTAAAACGTCTGAAATCTAATTGCAAATATATTAATAACTTCCAAGCTAAAGACATACTTCTTACTTTTAAATAAATTTCTATAAAAATAAAATTGTAATAATAAAATGTATTTAGCCAATAATAACACTAAATTCATAAAATTCAAGAACTTATTGAATTAATATGCATTATATTTAAAATTATATATCTATATATTTTGTATATCTTCACTCGGAAAATTCTAAAAAGATTAATTATTTCTTAAGGATTGTTCCGATTTTATTATGAAAAGAGATTTTTTAGAAATAAAATGTTCAATTTGTTAATTTGGGCATTAATGTTAACAATTGCAGAACTTGATGGAATTCAGATGATTCTAATTTTATAGCTATATATATTTATTGTTGCAAAATCTTTACAAAAATACTTTACTACATTTTACTTTAGTTTTTTGATGCTATTTAAACAAATTAAAATTATGAGAAAAAACTTTGGAAAAGGTCAAAAGAATTTGTAATACAAATTCCTTTTTTGGTTCGCATGGAATTGAGATGTTACTTCTTCGACTTTTCTTTTCAGCCAATGCGTAGAGATTTGAGAACTACGTGGGATCGCCATATGTTTACAAGAGATAATCGTATAGATGGAGCCCCATGGAAAAACAGAGTAACTTAAATAAAAATAATCTTATAATGGCTCAATAATAATAAACAATAAATAACAAGAAAGGGCTACAAGCCAGATTTTTATGTATTTCAAATTCTTAGAACATATATTCCGATCTTATTATTAGATATGAATGACTCGTAGTTCTTTCTTGTTATTTATTGTTTAGAATAACTTAATATATTTACTACAATATTTTATATGAATTTAAATGATTTTATTTATTCATATTTAATTTTTTTAGGGACTAGAGAATGTTCCTGATGATTAAAAGTACAAATATAATAAATAAATCATTGTAGCAATAGAATATATAACAGATGAAATAGACAAGTTTTATCATTCAATTATAACTTAAGTACAATATAATGAAGTGTATACATGATATATATAAATATATTATACATTAATTATACTTACTCATTATTTCTGATTTCCTAAATGTAAAGACGAAACTGTAGTTATAAAATCTAATTATTTATATATATATATATATACATGAGCTCAATATCTATAAATCTACGTTTAATTTAACATTCACAAATTCAATTTGCATTAAAAAAATCTTAGATAATAAAAAATTCAAATTCAAATAAATCTATCAAATAAAATTTTATTTTGATATATAAACAGTAACCTTACATACACTTATAGTTATCTATATTTGAATAGTTCATTGAATCGTAGTAATTAATTCTGGTAGCAAAGCAAACTTGCTAAATTAATGAATTGTAAAATTACACTCATAAGAGGATATAGGTCGGATTACTTGCTTGCATGGATGTCTTACGGTTGGAGAAACTGGAATCAGCGGGGTAACATTATCTCGGTTCTGGAGTCTCGAGTATTCCTTAGCTAAGCGTTTCATGAATACACCATACATGTGCGCGGTATTGATAAGGTAAGGGCGTAAATACTGAGTGGAAACTCCCCGAAGTCTTAAGTATGATATTTTCGGAAAATCAATAGTTAGCGGCATACTCGCGGTAATGCAACTTAGTCACTTTATCAAGTTAACGTGTAGTAGAGCTTTAGATAAATAATGGGTCATGCCGCTCCTATCGTATTTAGGATGTATGCCTTGTGTCAAACACTTGACGGATTTCAGCGAGATGTTTCAGAGATGCTGACGCGTAATTAATATTGACTCACGTCTGCATATCGCGTTTACTATACTCTCAACCTGATAAGGTTTATTCACACGTCACGAATACAATCATTCGAATACGATTATCTGTATTTATACATTATAACAATATCATTTGCCTGTGAATATTTTTTGAATATCGAGAAATTTATAAATTTAGCGTGTATATAAACTATCGCACAGTTTGTATGATACATAATTCTGAATAAAAAAAAGTTTCATCTCGCTATTTGTGGATAATTACGCAGATAATGTTGATGAATTTAATAGCATTAGTAAGTTGTGCAAGCTGTTTATCTGACTAGATTGCATCAGTTTATTGTCGAGATTGTTTATTCTGTTATTGTCAGTAAAGCAAAATCTAAAACGTCATGACTATGATTTAATGTTTCGTATATATAGATAAGTAATTATTTCATATATCTGCCAAGAGATTAATTTCTAGTTATTAATTTCCATATAGTGTTTTAGCACTATACTTTACACTATATTTAATTTATATTTTCGTCACGATGTTTTGTTTATAATTAAAGAGAGAGAACTCTTTGTAAGACAGAATCAATACAATCAATCTAGGTATACTGAGTGTACACACACCGATTGTAACTTTTCTTATGTTCGGAAATGTTTCCTATTTTGAATCTGGTCATCAGTTTTCAATTTTGAACTCAGCAAAAGGTAGAAAAAAATTGCAAAGTTTAAATAGACCGAGTCTAATTACTTTATATATATATATATATATATATATATATACATATCACTCATCTTAATTATAGAAGTATTTAATGTTGAAAATTAGAAGATTAATCTCTCATTAAATTTTTGCGAAAAGCCCAGCCGCAGATTCGTCAAAAGAGGTACCATTAAAACGGGAGAGCACATCTGATGCTCTTCTCGTTTTACTATGGAGACTAAGTCATTCCCTTGAGAGTTAGGTACCTCCGGAATCCTATTTCTGGGGTCCGCAGTTTCTAAAAGAAGTCGTTAAGAAATTTTTACTTCAAAGCAACATGTCTCAGCCACGCAAGCGAGTCGATTAAAAACTTTCCAACTTAAAATCGCATGAAAAAGTTATAAAGTATTTTTTCCTTTTTGTTTCGAACACGCGACATTACGAAGACATTTGCATTGTGAATTGCAATGTGTATATATGTATATGTAAAGAGTAATAAGCTTAAACGTGGGTTTTTGTACGATAAACACGTGGGTGACGATGATACGTCTCTCGATATCCGCTATTTGAGCAACAAGTGCGCCAAAGGAGGGGTTTCTGGGAAGTATGTTACTCTTCGTGCGATAAACTTTGACATTTGGGGCCGTAGATTAACGGGAAATAATCACTGTCAAGAGCAAAAGTAGCAAGTATTAATAAAGCAACAGCTCTGATAGAACTTATAGTTTCGTAAACGAATACATTTTAGTGTTGATACAAATAATCTTATCTCTCTTTTGAAGTCTTTTTCTGATATCATATATATTATCATTTTGCTATAAAAAAACTAAAAAAAATTAAGTTTCCCAGAAAAGAGGAAAGCTATTTTTTAACTTGATAGAAAATTATTGATTAATACATTCTTTTTGCCGATAAGCATAAATATTTGATCAAGAATATATTTTTATCCAGATAACATATGCATCTTGCATAATAAGATACTCTTTTAGACATCTTTTAGATAAAACATCATCAAATGTGTTATGTTATTTTTATCATTTTTATTTTGCAATCCTTACAAAGTCACTCTTTTTTTAGTAGTGGCAGATATTTTTAAATCATCCTTTCTGAATCGTTTTTGACGAATTTTTGTACTTAAAAACATCCAAAATTTTTGTATTTTTAAATATCATTACATTTTACAATTTTTGTAAATTAAAAAGTGATATTGAACAGAAATATTTAAAAGAAATATGTTTATTAATTATACATTTTAAATTACAAATTTTTATTTTTTATTTAAACTTTACATTTATAAAAGAGATCAGCTTTTTCAAAATTAATACAATAAAATGCACAATAACTTATAAACAAAATTGCCTTTATATCTCTCAATATGGAGAGGCCTCTCGTGTAGATAAATTTATCAGTGATTTAATAAATATTGCCATACGCGTCTAATATCTTAAACATTTTCCTTGTTCCATGCTACAGTCATTGTACAAAACCTTTCTCTTAATACTCGAGAATGTAAGTGATGATAAAAAATTATATTTTTCTAATTGTTTCACTTCCGACAAAGTTGAAAGAAATTATTACACATTAATAATTCATTGTAGAGAAAAAGGGAAAGTGAGAGCGAAGATAAAAAGCTAAATAAAAAATATAGTATAGTTATTTTTAATTAATATTATTGCCACCGATTTGATTCATTTCAGCAATCAAGATATATAAAAGACATTCAAAAATATTTATATATAAGTATAT